TTAATTGTAATAAGAATTAACTATGTGTATAATAAACATGACTTGTATTAATTGTACCCATTAAACTAATTGACTGTATCCCCTTACTAATTGATTACAATAATTGACTGCACTGCGAATCCTCGCCAAATATCAAACGACAATATGATACTTGATGCAATACATCTGACATGTGGCCACCAATGTATATTGCATAAGTGTGCCATTAGTTAATCGAATCGATATCAGTGTAATACAAGACTAAATTCAAAACACAATAGATATTCTGGTTGAAACCCAATAGTCCTTATCATTATCGTGAACTAAGCCCAAATGCATCATTAACCCAGATAAACCATTCCATTAAATAACTATATTGAACGCATTACCTAATATTTCGCTGTTGTATTTCACTGCAAATCACTTGATCTATAGCAAGTTTTGAACACTAAACCCAGATCCACTTAAAAAGGATTACGTGTTGCAGCGATATTCTATGTTTCTGTGTTCAGTTATGATGTATGCAGATATATTTAGCAAGTTGGAGAACGAATTTTATTTGATATGTTTAATAATAACACGGCTATCTATAATCAAGTTATTTATCCCATGTTGTAGGGTGATAATTCTCTTCTAAACTCAAATAGACAAAGAACTACAGTTATTAAAATATGCAGACAAAGGATTTCTGGATTCCTTTAAAAGTTATAGTGAATATACCTACAACAACGAGTTATAGTAGCTTGATTTTGTAAGATTATGTACATTAATGACTACCCTAACACAGAAAAAAGTTCAGAAAAAACTGTTGAAAAAACTCGGATAATTTATTTTTTTTTACATAACATTAATAAATCGTTGTTTCTCAAAAGTATGTTAGTAAAAATGCGAGTTATTAAGCGATTTACATTTGTTTAGTTTGAATAATTTACATGATGTTTACTACTTTTACTAACAGTACCTGGGGACCACTCTGCGATGCTAGCATTTACATTCCTTCACCATTTCCTACGTCATGGACCTGTTTCCTTCCCTTATCATAGCATTTAAGTATTACAGATACATCAATTCATCTGCCACAAACGGTTCCCAGTTCCCACAATCTGCGATGCTAAACTTTACTACTTCCTACGCCGTGGAACTATTTTCATCTCTTTCCATAGCATTTTAGTATTTTAAATACATTAATCTGATTGCCACAAACATTTCCCACGCTCCGCACAGCTAGCATTTACTACTTCTTTCACCATTTCCTATGTCTTGGACATGTTTCCATCCCTTTTCATAGCATTTCAGTATTTCAATTTCCGATACATAAATCTAACTGTTACAATTGGTTTCCAGTTCCCACACTCCGGACTGCTCGCCTTGACTACTTCCTTCACCACTTCCTACGTCTCAGACCTGTTTTCCTCCCTTCCCATAGCATTTTAAGATTGTAGATACCTTAATCTAATTGTCATTAACAGTTCCCACACTCCGGACTGCTCGCCTTTACTACTTCCTTCACCACTTCCTACGTCGTGGACCTGTTTCCCTCCCATCTCATAGCATTTTAGGATTGTAGATACCTTAATATAATCGTCATAAACAGTTCCCACACTCCGAACTACTCACCTTTACTACTTCCTTCACCACTTCCTTCACCACTTTCTACGTCGCGGACCTGTTTCCCTCCCTTTCCATAGCATTTTAGGATTGTAGATACCTTAATCTAATCGTCATAAACAGTTCCCACACTCCGAACTACTCACCTTTACTACTTCCTTCACCACTTCCTTCACCACTTTCTACGTCGCGGACCTGTTTCCCTCCCTTTCCATAGCATTTTAGGATTGTAGATACCTTAATATAATCGTCATAAACAGTTCCCACACTCCGAACTACTCACCTTTACTACTTCCTTCACCACTTCCTTCACCACTTCCTTCGTCGCGGACCTGTTTCCCTCCCTTTCCATAGCATTTTAGGATTGGGTATACCTTAATCTAATCGTCATAAACAGTTCCCACACTCCGACCCGCTCACCTTTACTATTTCCTTTACCACTTCCTACGTCACGGACCCGTTTCCTTACCTTCCCATAGCATTTTATAATTGCAGATACTTTAACGCTTTAATCTAATCGTCATAAACAGTTCCCGCACTCAGGATAGCTCGCATTGACTACTTCCTTCACCACTTCCTATGTCGCGGACCTGTTTCCTTACCTTCCCATAGCATTTTAGGATTGCAGATACCTTACCATCCTTATGGAACAGCTGAAACCACTTTTATTGTTAGTTCTGTTTGGTTTTCTGTAGATGTCGTGTTTTGTTTACAATTTGTTTATATTATTTTTTGGTTAGTTTCTCATTATTTGTGTCTCACTGTTTGGTTATATAGCCACAGATAGTAAAATAGTAATACAGTACGGTAAGATAGTGAACAAGTTATCGTTTATGATTAAATAGTTTTATTTGGTTAAACGAGGTTTTAAATTACTGAAATAACAAGAAACAAATTGTAAACAAAGCACGACATCTACAGAAGACGGACAGAACTAACAATTAAATTGGATTCAGCTGTTCCATAAGGATGGGAAATCTACCTTAATCTAATGGTAATAATAGATCCCACACTCCGCACTGCTAAGTTAGCCTTTGCTACAATGTATCGAGTAAGCTTCAGTATAATCATTGCTTAATAGTAACAAGTGATGTTTTTGCTTTCGTACTGTATTTTATCATTTCTACTACACTGTGGGCCTTTATGAACACATATGTTACAACTTACAAGTCTTTTGTTTACTTTTTCCTTGTTATTTCATTCAACCAACATGGTTACTTAGCAACCCATTAGACTAATGTTAAAAAAATGTGACTTTCAGTTTCATTTTTCTACGTAATTAGATTTTTGTTGGCAGTTCTAACTGCAGTTATCTCGTTTTTAGGCCAAAAATAAACTATTTACAAAATTTGAAGAAAATCGTCGGAGCCGTTTTCGAGATCTTTCTGCAAGCAAGCAAGCATACAAGCAAACATTGCTCGTATTAGAGTATAGGATTTACGTACTTAATATTTTATCTACGACCACAATGGTATAATAAAAAACACCCACATTGTTCCTGATATTTTTAAGATATATACTTACTTATCTAGATAACGAGTTTACAAAGTAAAATATTGTTTAGGAAAACCTTACGATATAACTGGTACTTAACAAAGTTGTGCAATTTGTCGCATGAACATTTCAGATTGAGATTGCAAGTTGTATTCATCTGGCTGTTTAAACAGAGTCAAGTTGACCTTAGTGTTTCTATGACTACACTCGGTAAACTGAGACCATTCAATTGTCTTGTACTGCCTCAGGTCCCTAACAATACCCCATTATAATGTTACCCGTATTTGTCACTATGCAGGAGGGACTTGACAAAAATAACTTGTTAAATTTTAACATTTTATAATAAGTAATGTTTAAAAAAATAGTCGTGCCTAGGATTTCATGGTATAGTAATTTTCATAACTGAACACTATTAGATAAAACATACTTCTAAGGATTATACCTACTTTATATTAGACTCTTCCTGTTAAATTAAATTAAATGAGAAACTATTTCATACATTTCTCACTATCTGAAATAGGCAAACAAAATAATTATATAAATCAGTTTGGACTCATGTGAGTGTTTTTAATTGTAACACGTCCATCACCATTCATTACAGCTTCTTATTTTAGGTTACGCAGTTGAATGAATGGTTTAAGAAAAGAATTCTTTTTTAAAGGTTGAAAAAGTATTTAAAATCATTTAGACTCTAATGAGAACGTTCCTATTCAGTTTGTGTCTAGGTTTCTCGTTTGAAAACTGAACAAGAAAAGTCACACCTACTTTGTTTCAATGAAAACGTCGAGAGTTTCAAAAGAGCTTGAATTTAATTTTGATTCTATCTTCAAATCTCTTAAGAAGTCTTTTGAACGTTTACAAACGCGTGTTAATTGTTTGCAATGTTATTGATCAATGTATGGATGTGATTTAAATATGAGTTAGTAATATATTACGTGTGAATTGTGTTTGTTGTAATTTATTTAATACCATATTATTTTGTATTATCATGTTATAATTATTTAAATCGTTAGTACAGTATAGTTGATCAATTGTCTTAATAAGAAAATGCATTAATTCATTGAAGTTTTCACATTGTTTTGGAACTAAATACATTGCTAAACCCACAAATGAATAGCTCATGACATATTATTTATATAAATTTTCAGTTAAAATATAAACGGTTTTATTGTTGACTGGTAATGTATTTGTATTTGTTTGAATATTTGCTATCTATGAGGCTTTAAAAACTAGACTTCTTCAATATGTGTAAAAATTACATGGCATACGGACCTAATTTATAAAAAGGATATATACTTTATCAAATTAAAAGATAATTTAAAATAAATCAGAATCCCTATTTATTTTGTAAAATACGTATATGAACAGTACTGGGGTTATTTTTAATCGCGATAGGTAAGAAGAAAGTTTTAACGATATTTGAGCCGCGAATTCTTAAGCTAAATCAACTCACCCTAACAACCAAATTAACAGTGATTTCCCCCAAAAAAGTGGATTTATAAATTTAATTGAAGCACCTATTTAGGTTGACTTGTTAATAAAGATTTATGAACCATATAACAACTAAATTTTGGGATAAATATTATAACTATACATAAGGTAAGAGAGTTTCACTTCGAAAGACTCATTACAGCAATCTATTGCAGTCACCGAATTTTCTTATCAATAGGCTTCACTGCCTGATTACAATGATACTCACAGTTTATTTCAATTTTATTGAGTTTTAAATCAACAGTAAAAGACAATCATTTAATTCTTTAATTAGTTTGAGAATAAGCTCCACAGTTTAGTTTTAATAATCACTAATATCTGATTCGACTTACTAGGAAAACCACAAGATGAGTTGACATGAAAAGTGTAGGCACTTTGGTATTTGTTTTTAGCAGCACACAGTACTTTGACAGTGTGGTGCGAAAAAGTTAACTTTACGATGGAGTCTACGAACAGGATATTCTTCAACTTCTTGTTGGTCCTTCTGAATACTCTTCAGATTTATTCAGGTAAAATATTTTACCAATTACATTAATCAATACCCAAAACAATGCATCATCCCAAGGTGTGGTTGGTTCTACCTCTCTTAACTAACCCTTGCTAGAGAACCATATGGTGCTTTTTGGAAAGAGTATTTATTCGGTTACTCTTTTACAAAGGGAAGGCCCTCCAACATCATTCATTCAAGTCAGTGTCTTTCAAGCCACACAGTCTCAAGCTTCCGATACTTGTAGATGGTTAAATTTACGTCTATCTATATCCATACACAAATGTAAATATGCCGGGTGTTTCAAAATGAATGACCCAGTTTTAACGCTTTATAACTTTGATACTATTAAACTTACCGCTATAAAATACACATCAAACGAAAAAGCAACTCAAAGAGTTTATGTCTTCCAAAGACACATTATTTAACAAAATCGATCCAGCAGAACTGTAGATTTAATTGTACAAATTTGTAAAAGTAATCTCCAACATTTTTTACCACTATAAATTTGGAGGTTGCTTGGCGTTTTTGCAAATAACTTTAAAATGGTGAGAAAATTGACCAAAGTGCAAGGTAATATTTCGAAATGAATAAAATTTCCTACAATCTACTTTCATGAATTTCTTGAAATACTCAATAAATGTAGCCTAAATTCGCCTTAAAATAAAAAAGTGTGAAATTCTATGTTTGCTATGTCTATTGTCTACATTGAAGACAGGTATTTTCAATTTTTTTTCATTTTGAGGCAATTTTGGTACCTCTTTGGATTATTTTCAAGAAATGCATAATAGTAGATTGTTGGAAATTAATTTTATTCTCTTTCGGAATATTACCTTCCACTTTGGTCAATTTCCTCACCATTTAAAAGTTATTTGCAAAAACGTCAAGCAGCCTCCAAATTTATAGTGGTAAAAAAAGTTGGAGATTATTTTTCAAATTTGTACAATTAAATCTACAGTTCTGCTGGATCGATTTTGTTAAATAATGTGTGTTTTTTGTTTGATGTGTATTTTATAGCGGTAACTTTAATAGTATAAAAGTTAGAAAAGCGTTAAAACCGGGTAATTCCTTTTGAAACACCCGGTATATTTACATTTGTGTATAGATTATTGAAATAAATTTAACTATCTACAACATTCTGTAAGTAAATATATCTGAGAATATATTAAGTAAAGAGAAAACAATAAGGTTTTAACAAAAAAAATTAGGTAAATAATTCTTTCCGAACGCTAAATATCCTTATAACGATATATCTTTTTGAGCGCGTATATCTCTGGAACTATGCGTTTTCACTGATAATGTACTGAACCAAAGTTGTTGAAAATTTAATAAGATTTAACTTTTATCATATAATAATGTAAGATAGGACGTACCGTTTTCAAATTATGAGAGAAACCACAAATTGGGGCGTTTAGATATGAGGCATGTTCAACACACAATTTGTGAACAGTAAAAAAAAAAAAAAACTCATTGAAGTTCTTTCTCATTGAAGTGCATAGTTTCCTTACTATGCACTTAAACTTGAAATGATATTCAAGACTTTGATCATTATTTCATAGCTTTAAGTGGAAAAATACAAGTTTTATAGTTGTTTGCAGTTTTTTATAAACACCGTGTATTTAGGTACCTACAAGAAAGTAGTATATTTTTAATGGTTGGCATATGACTAAGAATTTACGATTGTGTTTCTTTACTTATGAATTTTGTAGGAACATAGCTACTTCTCACAAAAGTTTAATTATTGAGTTTTACCCAAATTAGAATTAAATTCAAAGAGTACTTAATTTAAAGACAAACATACAAATGCAATTTATGTACAAAAGTTGAATATAAACCCAAGTCTCAGCTCAAGTTTTCGTGGCCTGATGTTATTCTGCATATTCATAAACAGATTCTTAGAAGGTAAATCCAAGACTTAAACAGAGTAAGGATTGAATTTATAAAGTTTCCTACTTTATTAAAACTTATAGAGTAGAACTTTGAATACAACTTTAAAATATAGCCCACATGGGTCTACGCATTGAAAATAACTTCTTGGGTAGATACTACGTATTTTGAAAATATATCTCTATTGTAGATTATTTTGTAAGTTAAATGTAAGTGTTTGACTTGCCTTACAACACTGTATCTTTCTCTACTCAGAGTCTATTTATTTGTGGATTTGTATTTACTTGTAAAAAGGTTTAACGAGAAGAGTGTCTTACATGCAATTTGAAAATCGTGCACATATACTCCATGGGTCTTTTTGGATAAAGACAAACTTTCAATATGTTTGATTAATTTCCAGACTTAACAAGACACCACAACTACGACCTGCTGCACAATAGACATTGTGGATTCAGCGAAAGCAGTAGAATCATAGGAGGTGAGGATGCAGAGATGGGACAGTATCCCTGGATGGCGCTGCTTGCATATGGTAATATATTCATTTACAGCTTTTGCAATAAGAATTCAGACGGGTTTCGTAAAATTTCGAACCAGATATTTAAAAAATCACCATTTTAAATGCTTTAAAGGTTTTTAATCGTAGTTTGCACAAAGATAGCGGAAACATATTACAGAACTTCAAAGCTGTAGCTTAAACTATTAAGGAGTTATGAATGTTTTTGTATAAAACACAGTCATACTGACAAGACATACGTTAAAATTGTAGTAGATGTTGCAATTTTTGTTTGTTTATTTACCTTTCGAATAATGTGGTAAAGTTTTTATATACTTCGTTCACCATATTTAGGGGGTTTGAGGGGAAGTTCCCCCACCAATTATTTTTATTTATGCTTGTTGCTGAATCATCTTTTGAACTATAATTTTTAAAATAAGGTCAAGTGGAGGGGATAAATTTCTTCTTTTAAAACCACCTAAATATTGTAAATGAAGATGAAAATAAAAATTTTGGAGCTGGGCATCGTGGTTTCAACAGAAGTGCTTGGCGAAATATAACTGTAGCATGAAAGTAATTGTGACTTCTCTTCACACAATAAGTTTAACACAATTCGTCGTAAAACACCCCTTTAAAAATCTGAGCAATTTCTTGTTGATCTCAATTTCTAAGAAATTCTTAAAGTTATGGACATCCATCAAATGTAAATGACGAAATATACCCTTTGAGAATAACATGGCAGAAAACTCAGTGTTTAGAAGGAGTGGCCGCAACCAAGGCATCTAAAAAATTTTAGAGCTAATAAAACTAATCATAGTAGTAGGGTTAAATGATATTATAGTAGTTTGTGCAACGATTGCGTAAAGATAGCGTTAACAACACGAGTAAAAAAGGTATAGACAAGCCTTGGCGATTCCCTAAAAAAACTTCCACGAGTGTCGTTAACACTATTTACGCGAGTTGCATACACTACTTTACCCACGACAGTGTTTTAATTACTAAACACCACTACTCTTAACTTCTAAGAGAGGTTATGTTTTCGTATACCGGTATAACCTCTCATTGACACTGACAGTGATGCAACGAAACATTGTACTAAAGAATAATTGCACCACTCAACAATTAAATTGGCTTTAACAGCTGATTAGTTGAAGTTCGAAATATTACAACTTAACTTATTCTCTCCCCATCCTTGAACCTCATTGGTCCGTTACCCATGTTGTTAGGTAAAACTAAGCTGTTAGTGTTATGAAAGTAAACATTGCTGTTATGGGAACCTTTTCAATTCTAAAAACTGAACTGAAACGGCTAGTTTAAACACAGTTGTAGGTAAAAGAGTTTTTTCGCCAAACTGCAGCAAAAATAGCCGTTTTCATTACATGGGTTGCGGGTCTAAGTTGTTCTTTTACTCCATAGTGAGTAAAAGCTCATATTGTATACTGAGCTACTATTGTATACTGAAGTTATAGTTTTGTTAATAGTCAAGGATAAAAGTAAGATGTTTTGTAACCTCAGTTGTAAACTTCGATTGTAAGCAATCAGATGTATCCGCCTCGAGTCACTTTACGTCCAATTGATGAAATATACTATCATAACATATTTATTTAGATGTTTAAGTCCAATTTATCAAGGAGCTATGATGTTAGCCTCGCAATATACTAAGTGCTCAACGATCTATACACATTCAAAAATAGATAATTATTTTCTCAGCCCTAATGGTAATTATAATTTTACAGTAAATGTTAAAAAAGGGGAGACTGTATACTACTGTGGTGGAGCTGTTATAAGTAGAAGGTACATCATAACTGCAGCTCACTGCGTACACTATCATCGTATAAAGTCGTGAGTAGAGAATGTGTGCCTAATGATATTTGCAAATTTGTTGTCATATATTTGTAGAAACATATGAATCTAAGCTCGATATGAATTTCACATTTGTATTAGGATATTGATCACTGTTAGATTGTCGATTAGAACTATTATTACTGGGTTTTGTCGAGTATTCATAGCTCCACAGCCTTCACTTGATATACTTCTGTTCGCAAAGGGAAATCAGTCTAGATTTCAAAAGGATATTATTGTCGGTTTTTGTTAGAGCTTTACTTAATATACATTTTTCCTATTTTTCCCACAACGGCTTCGGAATTTCTGAATTAGACATGGTAGTTTTAAAATTAATGATTAGGTGTACACTCTAGAAATAGTTCGGAATACTATTTAAGTCCGCCTTGTGTATAGATGAGAAGATAATGACAGGGAGATCACCTTACTTGAGCCTTCGTCCCAAATGATGAAATTTCTTCTTGGTTGAAGCAAATTAAGAATCTTACTGTCCTGTCTTTGCGCATAGCCTCTCAAGTAGGCATACATGATCACCTTAAGAACATATTGACTTAGAACGGTTTGAAAATTGCTCGGCTGTTTTGAGAGGATTTTAGCGAATTTCCCTATAGGGAAGTAGCTATTACCGTATGTGGCATGGTAAGACCTAGGACCGGGACCGATTTACTTTTTGATGTTGATGTCCCCAGAGGCCAAAAACACCATTCGTTCAAATTTGTAAGGCGGGATAAACTTGAATGAGTTCGCGAACCAGCACGATCAGACCATGGAAACGGGGTTTTACGGGGGGTTCTAGGGTTAAAAATGGGGTTTTCTCATTTTTCCCCCTTAAGACACAAAATTTATCAATTTTTCTCCATACCTTTTTAAAGAGCTAAGAAAAAACAAATAACTTAGTATATCAAAGTGTTTTTGTACGGTGATTGGTTACGGAGAAAATTCAAAAATTGTTAATTTAAAATTCCCATGTTATTCTTATGGAGAATATTGTAAAATACTGTACTTAGCTTGTTTATGGATATATTTTGACCAAACTTATTTATTTATTTCATGCTAAGCTATTGATATTTTAATTGAAAACACACTTAATTAGTTTCCCTGTAGCAGCTAACCTAGGTACTCGTTAAACATAAATGTTAATTAAATAGATTAATTGAAAATCAATCCAGGCAAATGGAAATTCGCTTAGTCAGCAGGTTTGCTGCAGCGGGGGTATTTTACCTTGCTGAAATACCAGTTTATGTTATTTAGTTCCTTTATCTCATTTAAATATAAAAAATATCTTATTTAGACATCTCAGAATATACCACAGTATACTTGAAGTTAATATGTCATGGTTATTCTAGGATTCTAGTACAAGCTAGATGAGAACCCTTACCGTGATGGTGACGCGTGGATGAGGATAAAAAGGTACTACGTCACCAGGACATGCGGTGGGTCATTGTACCGTCACCTAAAGTGTCGGTACAATATATTTACATGTAATGCTGTAATGATGTATCATTACAGCATTACAACACATACTACAGTATATGTTATGTCGCAGTCTCATGGTTCTCCTAGGAGAGTACAAGTTAGATGTATGTATAAAAGGAGAGTATTAGGTGTGTATACTCCTATACAGGGGACGTGTATACAAGAGTCCCTGAGTCACCAGGAGTTCCAGTGCGTCATTGTGACGTCACTACACGACGATACACCTACATATTACAGTATATGTTATGTTGCAGTCTCATGGTTATCCTAGGAGAGTACAAGTTAGATGTATGTATAAAAGGAGAGTATTAGGTGTGTATACTCCTATACAGGGGATGTGTAACCAAGAGTCCCTGAGTCACCAGGAGTTCCAGTGCGTCATTGTGACGTCACTACACGACGATACACCTACATATTACTGTATATGTTATGTTGCAGTCTCATGGTTCTCATAGGAGAATACAAGCTAGATGAGGATCCTGACTGTGATGGTGACATGTGTGCCCCTCCTGTACAGAGGATGAGAGTACAAGAGGTTCTACGTCATCAGGACTTCAGGTACGCCAACATGACGTCACCACACGATATTGCTCTAGTTCGAACTGCTGCAGACATTAATTTTAATGGTACAGTAGACTTAACATACTATTATGTAACTAGTAGTAATTCCAAATAAAGTAAAATACAAGCAATAATGTTTTATTTTAGGTAATTGAAGAAATGTCAAACAATGCATAAAGAATATACCACAAAAAATATACGATTCCAAGTGACAAAAGATATTTACCACAAAAATATAATTACCTTTTGGTCGTATAGTATAAAATATAACATTGAAAGTCCAATTTGTAGCGACAGGGTTTAGGAACATATGTTTACAGGTGTTTTGAATTCATATGCAAATCAAATGGGAAAACAAACACTTCAATCAAATTTTACGTTTTCCAGATTTTGTTCAGCCGATTTGTTTACCTTTTCATCAATCAAACATTAGACCTAATACGGTGGAGGTAGCTGGATGGGGCAGTAACACTAAATGTAAGACTTTATATTATTTGACTTATGTTTGTGATTATTAGATTTTACTACATTTCACAGTATGGTATTACATGTGTACAATTCATGAGTCTCGAATTTAAGACTATGTTAGAAGTACAGTAGTATGTCTACTATCAACTGCCTGCCATTTGTACATACAATCATATGTTGTATTTATTGTTAATAGGCTAATCTATTTACATTTCTTTGTTTACTTTTCTATCAGTTCTTTCCCAATTATATTAATTAAACCATCACTTGAATTTAATCTTTGTTATTGAGTAAAATCTTATCAATATAATCAATCATTACTAACAGATTAGAACAACGTTATTAATTCCTACTAGTTTTTATTCTTTGAAATATAGTTCTATTTTAAATACAATGTTCACCTGGTAATCAAAAGGTCGCCGGTTCGATACTGAGAAAAATATGTGGCTTTTTGATGGTTCAAAACTGGACCCAGCTGTCCTGATCATCGGGCTTTCTATAAACGGTCCTGACTAATGAAAAAGCTGGTCTTCTTAGTCAGTAACAAGGCTACACAAGGCATCGGCGTCACATTCTACACTCATCCTTCACTCATATTAGGGTTAAAATAGGTCGTGTTCACATCTCAAATAAATATTCATATGAGTGTATGCCATACAGAATATTACGTTACTCGACTAAATATCAAACCTTAATTAACAAGGAAAACTGAGCTAAGATCTAATTTCCACTTTAAACTAACCAACTTTATCATCAGAAATTATTTAACGTGTAATGGTGTGGGGTAGTTTATCTCAACCTGATTATAAAATTATTAATTTTCGGTTGTGTGACTATAAATAATTTTAAAACCAGTTGGCTTTAGAACATCCGTGACAAAGAATATTAATCATCACACATAGGTATAAAAAAACAATCAAAATAACTATTGATAAAATAAAAGAATTACCTTATCGAACCAAAGTTGCTGGTATGACAACTAGTTTCGTTCCTTAGAACTTCGTCAGGTCACTGTATTCAACCACAGGCACATACACACATTGTGGTATGTCAAAAGAGTCATTAAAATACCGTCAAAATCACAATAGTCAAAACTAGTAATGTTGATCAAATGATAAATGGGATGAAAAGTGATAAAACTGTTTAAAACTGTAAAGACTGGTCAGCACTGTCTTATCACTGTCACTGACTTATGCTGGCCAGCCTTTACAGTTTTATAACTTTTTATTCCATTTTAATCATTTGATCAACATGACTAGTTTTGACTATTGTGATTTTGGCAGTATTTCAGTATTTTGATGAATCTTTTGACATACCACAATGTATTTATACATTGATGATGTAGTTGCATACAATGGCCTGACAAAATTCATATCTAGGGAACAAAACTAATTGTCATACCAGCAGCTGTTTATGTATAAGGTAATCCTTTTATTTTATCGATAATGTATTCCAACCAAGGGTCACAATGGATAACATCAAAATAACTGACTAATACAAGATCTTCTAGTGCAGATGGTAAAATAAGAACCACTACAGTCCTGCAACGTTTACTAATGAAGCTGGTGCCAGCTAAAGACTGTCTCATGAAGATATACGAAGGACAGTTGTGTACTGAAGCTAGTCGCTCGAAGGACACGTGTAATGGAGACTCTGGTGGTCCTCTCATGATGATTTTACCTGACCATCTACAGTATATTCCTAGGTAAGACAACCTTGATATTGAAAAGTGGTAGAAATGACTTGGTTCAAGAAATCTTTTTTAATGGATCTGTGATTTTTTTATTTAGGTTGTTGTGACGTTTTGTAAGGTATTAGTTGGGTATAAATGAACTCAACTTGTGTTGTCATGTATGTAACTGTACACACATTCTTAAAGGGAGGGGGGTTTGGAAAATGTAAACTGAATTAAAAACCTAATTATCGATAAACGAGGTTGATAAGTTCGCGGTTTTTTTACATATTCCCTTATTTATTTCCTCAATGTTCCCCACCTAAAGCTGTTCATATAAAATGTTAAGTAAATCTATAAATAAATAAAAAATTGGGCCCTAAATGTTTACGTGAATGGGCCTACATTACCTTGTAGTATACATAAAATTACATTTGTTCCAGAAGGGCATTTTATGTATACTACAAGGTTTACTCATGAAAAAATAGTACCCAATAATAAGTCGAAATATATATGAAATTGCCTTTGTACGAGCTATGACCAATTTTAAATTATAATAGAATGGAGGTTAAATGATTTTCTATTATATGTTTAATGTTCACATCAAAACATCGGTTTCTCATGCTTGAATCTTTATTCTGCAACTGACAGAGCATTATCGTAAACTAGACTTTTTACTTTACATAACTATGTTGCAATTATCTAAGAAATTAAAAAATCATACTGTTGTTTATACAAAACAATTGGTCATGGTTTAAATATATCAGATTTTTATTAATTCAGCCTTCAAAATGAATTATCCTGTATTCTTCGCAGATATTACCTCATCGGGGTGTTGTCATACGGATACCAGATCTGCGCGTATTCAAAGAGACCAACGACTGTCTACACTGATGTCTCCATGTACCTTGAGTGGATACTAGATAGCATTTATTGATTTTACATAACAAATTGTATAGGATGAAGAATAACTACCACATAACCACTGACACAAGCACAATCATACAAAAGATTAAACAAACCATTACAACTTCAATAATACAATATACCAAACCCCTTATACAAGCAACGTAACACATAGACGTACATGACACTACACATATACATAATCGTACAAAACATAAAAGGACAAATGAACATGGTCAATTTCAATCTCATTTCAATTATCCATAAAATCCTTTTCTATCATAATTACTAATTGAAATGCTAACCAGTCAAGCGCACAAATACAGATTTAATTTAAAATAAATAAGACTTATATCTTATGGATCTAGTGGAAACTATTTTATGTTATGATTATGTAGATGTTTTGTTAATATTATCTTATTAATAATATTATATTATATTATTATATTTTATATTATTATATTATATTTATTATATTATTATTATATTATATATAATATAATTCTATTAATAATATCTTATCGTCCAGTAACGTTGTCCTTTGTTATTTATTTAAACACATTTGAATCTATTTGATTTTAACATATAACAAATATATAACAATAAACTCATATGCCATAGCTTGTGTCTTGTATTAAAACAATTGAATTAAACACTGTAAAACTACCCAAAACTTGTAACTGTTTGTATGTATTAAATTTTGAATAATTAGGCAGTATATCAGTGGATTTTGCATATTTTTTACTGAAGTTGATCAATTAAACTCCCTCAAGTTTTAATGTATAAATGAATAAACTAAGGATTCGTATAGTTAAATGGTGTAAATGAGATATAACCTTCTTGAAATACTTTTAGATTTCAAGGAAGAATGTGTTTTAAATTTTGGTATTTCTAATCTTCCTTGACACCCATCCATTTTCCATGACAATTACTAACGAAAGGAAAACTAAAGTGAGCTTTTGAATCTGTTAAGTGTTATATGAATGTTGTAGTTCTTCTCACCCTAATGCCACACCCTGTATTGTGTTATTTTACTTAGTTTAGTATATGTAATGTTGTGCTTATTGTTACTTTGTGTAGTTTATACCTGCTATTCTTATTGTTGTAATTGTACTTGGAAGTATAATGGTCACTAACCATTTATAAATCTACGAGATAATATGTTTAATCAATACAGTCCCAGGTGGGAGATTGTAGTGAGCCAATTAACAGCCGTGTTGGTCACTGGGGAGGTCGTACAATCATACAGCTGTTGGGAAATTAATATTGTAGCAAACTGCAAATATATTTTGGTTTACGTTAAATTTAATTTGTGAAAGTAAATATTTTCATAAAATATACATTTAATATACATTTTATTGATTCTCTAGTTTCTGTAGATATAAAAAATTAATGTTTGCAGTAACATAGGTTTACCATAATACGTTGTTGGTTCAAACAATTTACTAAACTTAAATCTATTTTAGAGAATAGTTCAGCTTCCCCAACAACACAAATCTAAAACACAGCTTATTTACAAGTTAAAATATCTTTGACATATTTAGCTGTTTTACTTATAATTACAATACAAGTCAATAAAATAAGGTCATATTCCTATGTGTGATGTTATGTTCTCAAAACCTGTAAAATGAAAATTGGGTTTGTAAAGAAATATGAGAATGGTTGAAGACTGGAAACTTCACTACAAATGTCCAAATCACTCAGCGTCTGCGAGATGTGGAGTTGTTTATACCAACTGTCTGTTTCTGTGATAAATTATTAACTACAGTTGGTGTTTACAGGAGTTATAACAGTTTACCAACTCCAGGTTATGGCCAGTTCTACAGCCTTCATAATAAGTGGGTGAAAAGTACAAACATTTAATAATATTATGTTTAAATTCTTGGTTATTCTTTCTACCGGTTTTTAACCGAAATAGTTTAGTTGAATTTTGAGTCAAAACGACTTTTATTTCAAATCCACACCAGGATGGGTATCATCGGCTAAGTATACCTCTAATTCATGAGAACACCAGTAGAACAATTAATAGAAATCAACTTCAATACTCTACGATTGTGGATACTTTAACATTGTTTACAAAAATCGATTGCTAATTAATAGCATGAGGTTAAGGTTTTATATTATTTTATCTGACGATATTATTGTACCAAAACTGAATAATTTAAAAATGTATAATTACTGTACCTCTTTTTAAATGTGAAACCTAACTCAATACTTTTGTCAACATACTATTGCATTGTAATTTGGAAAATATTATAACTAATTTAATTAAAGAAATCTTATCGTTAAATGTTCAAGTGAAGGAAGTAAAATGTTAATAAGTTGATTTAGGACGGTTAAAATATAACAATAATAAGCGTGTATACTTCAAGGAAATACCTTTTTAATTTAGCAATTAATCAATTAATCCAATTGATTGAAAAGAAACTTGCACTTTTTATAACAGAGATAAGTAAATTAATAGCATGATGTTAAGGATTTATATGTTTAATCTGACTGTATTATAAAAACTAAATCATTTCCAAAAATGTAATTACCTCTTCCTAAAATAAGGAACCTAATTCAAAACCTTGTCAATAGACTCTTGCTATGTAATTAGAAAAAGTATTATCTACAAATTAATTAAATACAATCTTATTGTTTTCCTTTCTTATAATTTTAAAGTAAATTAAATCAATTTTTAATGAGTTGATTTGGTGTGGTTATCAATCATAAGTATACACTTTAAGGTCATACTTTGTTGGTTGAAAAATCAATCCAATTGCTTGCAAAAGACTTACACAATATTATCTAAATCTGAGGTAATTAAGTAAAAAGGTATTTTAAATACTTTAATCATTTTAATCACTAGTTCACATTAAAACTAAGGTTTTTTTTATGTATTTATCAACTTAAAGAATTTTGTTTATAAACTAACCTCCATTTATTGATCCCATGAGAGAGGACACCAGCTGTTAACTAAGTTGTTCTTGTTCTTCCTTCCGCTCCAACAGTTTCCGTTCACCTAAATTTCCCCTTGGTTTCAAACTTTTGTGTATTTAAACAAGTATTGTGTTTGTTGCATAATTCGCAGAGTATGATTTTCAAAGTAATAAATACACTTATAAAATTATGCCAGTTGTATGTTTACTAACATATATGCTAGGTTGACTTATTTTACTGTACCTGGTAACGTGTACAAAATATCTATCTTCTATACTTGTGGATATTACAAGAACTTTAAAGAACTATCAAAGGACTGTTATACAGAGTGCCCTGTCAGTAAACAGACAAAGAACTCGGTAAATGGTTCTATGGATAAACAAAAATAAAATCAAGAATGAAATTTTTTTCTATAACTGCTTTCAGACATCCGCATCCGCCATTTTGTATTGTTTACATTTTGTTTTTATTTTTGACCTACTCTTGTGTCAAAAATGAATATTTTAAATAAAATCAAATGTTTGAACTAACAAAACATACTGCTAAGTTCAGGGTTTCAAATTAGATGCCTATTTACATTCACTGATAAAGTTAGAGTGTTAGTTACACACCCTTATAATCAACAACTTCCAACCCTCACAGCACACTTTGGTTCAATTAATTCCATTCAACTTGTTTCGTTTTTTGTCGTTGAAATAAGAATGGCAAATGTGTTGGGTTTCACCTTATATTATGCTAGTTTGTGTCAAAATTAAAAAAAAAAAAAAACTGTACACTAATATTTGCAATTCAAATGTGTTCAACTCAAGACTTGAAAACATTGTATTTACCTACTTAACATTTAGAGGGGTCAACTATGGTTAAGAATTTTTGTTCAGGCCGGCCACACACAGAACCAGGCAGGGCGGGGCGCGACAGGGCACGACGAGACGCCTGATTTGCCCTGTCCTGCTGCTGTCACACACAGAATGAGGCGTGACACGTCAAGTAAAAAGTTTAGCCCCCATAAACCTGAAAATTAATATAGGATTTTTGATTTCTGAGCCTTGAGCCGATTTAGCAAACTTTTAAATTGGACTTTATACTTGGAGCAGAATAGAAAACAAAATTCAAACAGCCATACCTCCAGAAGAGTGTTTTTTGAAACCCTTTAGATATGAACGTTTTCCCTCTATTTCCTCAGTTATCAATACCAAGATAAATTATTATTTATTCAACCACTGTAGTAATATCACTACTTCACTACGACTTGTATAGTCGTATCAAAGGGTGTGTATAAATTGTTACTGTACAGTCTTATATGTAAATTTTATCGGTTGTAAAATAATCCTTATCAAATTTGCCCGAAAAGGAATAAATCACATGACCGCGCATGCGCAGAAAGTTCTGCCCGGCAGCGACTTGCCTCGGGGCATAGTTTTGGAGAGCTTCACATTTTGCCCTGAGGGCGCCCGGGGGCGTCTTTTCGACGTGCCCTGCCTCGCCCGGTCCTGTGTGTGGAGCTCCATAAGCGCCCGTGCAATTCCCGTCGCACAAGACGCCCCGGGGCAAAATGCCCTGTCGCGCCCCGCCCCGCCCGGTTCTGTGTGTAGCCGGCCTTAGAGACAAAGTTGGTTTTATTTTGCCGTGGCTATGACAAAAATAATGTTGCAAGAGTACAAGTCCGTACCAAAAATTTCCTGTAGTACTGAAAGACTAGTAATATTTTAGAACAATGTATACCCCAATACATGTTGAATACTATTCCTCTTAATCAAGAAGATGTAGGTTTTATCCCAAAGATGATGTTTTAACCCAGCATAAAATATTTTAGAGCTGGCAATAAGACGTAAGCTAATCAGTTTCTTGGAACTTCGGAATCTAACACAAAAATTCGACAAAATGTTTAAATAGTTAAATATTTGTTAAATAATATTGGTTAAATAAAGACTAACGTTTTCATCGCACTACAAAATAGGGTCGCCACCACAAATCAAATAATGGCTAATTAACAGTTAAAGCTTATTATTTACCAAATATCCCTAGAAAATATAAGTTTGGAGTCAGCAAAGAACAAAAGTATGCTTAAACAAAGGTAAACGAATATTGTTGAGTTAAGATTCACTCAAAATAAATATCCATAGTCGTTTTATTCAGGAATACTTGTTAAGTATATACTACGTTCACAATATTTAGGAGGTTTTAGGGGAGGTAATATATCCCCTCTACTTACCTTTAAAATAATAGCTCAACAGCTGATTAAACAACATACAACAATTGGTGGGGGAAACTTCCTCAAAACCCCTCTTTTGTATAATTTAACTATCAATTATTGTGATTAATGATATGTACTATTTCTAACACCAAATAACCATTGAGCATTGTTATGTAATTTATATTTTGATCGAATAGTTAATTCT